CCCAGGGACTCCCCATGGGCAGGGGGTAGCCAGCTCACTCCGTGCAGGGAGAGCAGAGAGACAGTGGTGCCCAAGGGAGGGGGATAGCCAGCCCCCTTCTGGTGCTTTGAAGTGGGGAGGGCAGTAGCTCGTCCCCTCCATGCATCCTTGCAGGGAGAGGAGAGAGACAGTCATGCCCAGAGCAGGGGGAGTAGCCAGCCCCCTCCTTGCACCTTGCAGGGGAGGAGGGCCATAGCTAGCCCAATGGTTTTCACAGCTGGATCAGGGACTGGCCTGGGGAAAGGGCTGTGGGGCCCACAATGCTTTGTTTATCTAAGGGTGTGTCTAGACTATAGGGTTCTGTCGACGAAAGTGGACTTTTGTCCACAAAATTATACCTGCGTCTACACTGCCGCTGAGTTCTGTCAACATAGCGCCGACAGGACTCAGCAGTTTTCTCAACAGCTGTAAACTTCATTCTACGAGGAATAACACCTTTTGTCGACAGAGTTCTGTCAACAGAAGGCATTATTGCATCTACATTGTCCTGTGTGTCTACACTGTCATGTTGACAAAGCGGCTGGCTTTGTCGACAGAACTGGATGTAGTCTAGACACTCTTTGTCGACAGAAGCTTTGTCGACAGTATCTGTTGACAAAAGCCTGTAGTCTGGACGTACCCTAAGTGTCCATAACTACAGAGCCTCACAGCTCCTCTTGGCTGAAAATGGCAAACTGCAGCCAGTGGGAGCTGCTTACACATAAATAAACAAAGCATGGGGGGAGAGGAGCCTGCCTCTGGGTTATGACCCAATTTTGAAAATCACTGAGCTAACCACCCCCCATGCACCTTGCAGGAGAAGAGAGGTAGCTAGTCCCCCTCTTCATGCACCTCACAAGGAGAAGGGAATGGTTCCCTTTCCCCCTCCTTCCACCTTGAAGGGAGAATAGGCTGTCAGCAATAACGAAGGAAGCAATTATTTCTTGCCCCGTTCCCAAAAATGGTAGCGAAGAAGGCAGGTACTATCCTCCCTTAAGCAAGTACACCTGCTGTAGTGACTGGTACCATGTCTGCATTTGTCATGCCAGAGATCAATCTTTTGGTATTCAATTTAGTGGGTCTAGTTAAGACCTTCAAAATGAAACTCAGGGCGGCTCTGGTTGGTGCCAGTACTCCTAGCAGTCGTGACAAGTAAAGGAAGTAGACTGGACTCCCTCTGTGAACACTGTACCAAGGTCCACTTAGGGTAAGCCAACTCCAGCAACGTATTTTACGTACCTGGAGTTGCATACCTTAACTCAACCTTCCAGGTATAATGTTTTCAAAGGTACCCTTACTGATTGGAGTAAAACTCTCAAGGTGTAAAACCCTGTGTTCAGAAGTGACATGGCTGTGTTTTTATCACCTACGTGCTTAGTATGTGCCTCATCTTAAAAAAAAAGTTGTAAAATTAGTATGTTACATATTATGTTTGTATATTTTGTATATTCCTTCCCATTCACCCCAAAATTGGATGAATAATGAGATCTTTCTGTTGTTCTCAAGCCAGGCCTCCATTTAAAATTGACCTACTGAAGCATTCTTTTCATTTAACCTTGTTGGAATCTCAACTGAGAGCATAACTTCTTTCGTAAGAGTTATCCAGTGTCGCCTACATTCCAGACCATCCATAGACCTTGGGCATGGAAATGTACGTGCCTAAGTACTTTATTATGTGTGGAAATAATCACGGGTTCAGCATTGAAACCTGTGCCTATAGTAGTGTTAATATTTGATGCCATAGACATTATTTATGTCAGATGATGAGCATTTACAGGATTGGGCCCAATTTTGCTCTCTCAAATCCAATAAACTGTGGAAAAACATTGGAAATGCTTATCTTGTGTCTACATGAAGTAGTAGTACAGATTATAGGGCTATGATTTCTAAAGCATACAAATGTTAGCTGGTGTGTGCTACAAGTTCCCTTGTGTGCTTTAACATGGTGTTGTTTTAAACAGTACTGTGCTACATTAAAGCACATTAGCGAACTTTATACAGATTATTTATATTACAGGCTATACAATGAGCCCCTCAAAAACCTCATTGGACATATACATATAGCAAAATTGCTAAAAAATAAACCCCATAAAATGAAATTAATAAATTCTGAAAAACAGAAGCTCTAATTATGTTCTTTGTTTTAACAGTTCATGAAAACAGAAAGTGTTGTATTTAACAGTCTGACACTGTGTTCTCTTTTTTGTTTTTCAGAATTTGAGATATAATGTCAGCTGGCTGAAAATTTATCTGCCAAAATGTCAAGTAAGTTTGTATTTTTTTTAAATGTAAGACGTCTGTTCGGTGGCACTTACTTTCATGAATAACATTGCTGTTACATGGGAAAGGGCTACTACACCACGAAAATTATAAGAGGAATATTATCAGGTACAGTAATTATAAGTGAACTACCAATCAGTTAGTACTAAATATTACAGCAGTTCATAGCCAACATTGTGCACTGAGGATTTCTTTTAAGTGTCCAAAAGGTGAAAGGAACATGCAAGCATCCTACCTGCCAAGCTGCATAATTGTACTTTAGCCACTTTATCACTCTTAAGGCTAGAATAGTCTGAGCCATTTGGATACATCCTCCACAGCGGAAGAAGATTCATCCCATCATATCTACCTCTCTGGCATGTGTAGATCGCCAGTGGAGTTATGCTTTGGGATGCATACACCAATATTCCCCACAATTTTCCCTACCAACAGGCAGGACCTTCCACACCACGGGACAAGATCTGCTCCTTCTTTAGTAAATATAAATCATGTAAATTTGTAAGCAATTTGAACTAAATTCACCACTAAGTTACTCTTGTGCATCTTCTAGATGAAGTAGGAAAATATGTGCTCATTCTCTGTGCTTTTATTTAATGCCAACTATTGTATATATTACTGAAAGTCATGAATGAAATCACTTGAGGAGGGGGTAAATTGGGTAACAATGTAAAATTTAGCTTACAATTGCTTCATTGTAAAGCACACTGTTACATGTCAGAGTCTATATTTCAAATCCATTTTCTTGCCTTTGAAGAAAATTTAGTGTGCTTTAATTTCCATCGTGACTAGCAGTTTTTCCAAATTCTCTTCGTACATTTCCTCCCACCCCAACCCATGTAAAATAAAGTTAGTAATCTGACACTAAGGATGTCTTTTTTTAAAATGCATTCTTTTTTCTTCTATCTTTATTTTGTTATTTTGTCAGTGTAATTTATAAACACTTTGGGATAAGATTCAGTCTTGTTATATGGTTCTTAGCAAATTATTGTTGGGTGCCTAGAATGCTTTGGGATATTGTATGCATAATTTATCTCAGAGTTGTCAGGAAGTTATTCATTTGATTTTGTCTGTTAAACAGAAAGGCCATCCTATGCCCCACCTCCCACCCCTGCTCCCACAACCGTAAGTATAATGAATTTTCTCATTAGTACAAATCTGGTCATCTGGCTTTTAAGACAATAATTTGGTAGTCAGCCTACCAATATTAAAATATTGTGAACATAAGATTATGTGCACTGAATTTGTCAAATGATATGTAGTGTTTAAATTAAATTAACCTCAACATTTGTAAAAGGGTTGGAGAAGCTGGAATAAGACTCATTCAGTTCTTAAGGCTAAATCCTTCAAATACTTAAAATTTGTGCTTAACTTCACACTAAAGCCCATAAGGCTAGCAGTCATGAGTAAAGGTAAATATGGGGGTGAACTTTTGTAGCCTTTGGGCCTGCTATCCATGTATCCGTTGTAAATATTCCAGTTGGATATAACAGTAAACTAAGGGCTGAGTAGCATACTGAAATCTCAACTGTCTTGCCTCTATGAGCTTAATGTTGAATCAAGTTTTCAACATAATTTTTTGTACTTTTTACAGTAGATTTAAATTTGTATTTACCATTTTTCAGTGGTATTCACATAGTTATGTCAGATTATGCAAGCTTTCATTTATATTGAGTCATAGTAATGTACCTCTTGTGCTGACTACTTAAATTTATTGAAATCCATGATGGTGATGTTAAAAAAATGAAAAGTAGACTTAGAGCAAGTCCAGTGGTAGATATTTTTTTTAAATAATAAAGTAAATACTTGTGTTTGCAAAGGAGCCAATCTGTTGAGGATTTACCTGCAAAATTTTATTACATAATATCCAGTTAGTGCTCTTAGGATATACGTTTTTTCCAGTCCAAAATAGGAACTATGTAATCTCCTTTTTTTTTAATTAAACCAAAGTCCATATTTAAAGAGGTTGGGGAGCAGGATATGGATGTTTGACATCAAAGAAATTTATAAACTTTCCCATATACATTTTGGGGAGAAAAAAACTTTTTGCATGTGTATGCCAGTTTTGGTAATAGCTTGAGTCCAAAGTTATATTAAGATATTTGCAGAGCAAAAAATGTGTTACTTGATTTTAAATATATTACTATTTGGATTAATGTGATAGGTGCTGGTCTGCAATCACATCTGGAACACCATTGATTTCAATAGGGCACTCCACGAATGCAGTATTTGTTAAAGGGTGTTTTATTCATGTTCAGTTTTGATGTGCTACTTTCTTTAGTCAAATAAGCAAGTATTTTTAAAACTGTATATGTTTGTGATCTCAGAGGTGCAATCAGCAATGCATGGTGCCTATCTTATGTACATCATCTATATGTACTAGGGACCTAATAGTGTACAGCCTGTCTCCGACTTACGAACCGGTTACGGACCAAGCAATTGGTCGTAACTCGGTTTGTTCGTAAGTCGGACCCCATTGAGTTACACGTGACCGCGCTGTTCGTAAGCGCGGATCGCGTTCGCAACTCGGGGTCCGCCATTTACGACATTTTGGTCGTAACTGCGTGAGTCGACCATTCGCAACTCGGGGACCGGCTGTAGTTGATTAACCAATAAGCAAATCTTATCAGGTAATGCTATAGTCTACTTGCATATCTTCCCCCCCATCCCCCTTGTCAGTAATTTTTTTTAGCAGGTTGGTCAGCAGCCCAGCTCAGTCCCAGCTTGTGCTGGGTCCGGGACCTACCCCTGCTGTGGCTCTGCATTTAAAGAGTGTTAGGAGCCAGGCGGGCAGATAGCCTGGCTCATTTCAAGCCAGAAATGAGCCAGGAAGCTCAGACAACCCCCCACCCTGAAAAGGGGCTGCTGCCACCCCGCACTGCTACCTCTGTATCAGAGGCAGCAGCGTGGGGCAACAGGCAGTCAGTCTGCAGGCAGTTAAACTAGCTCCCCTCGCAGACCAGCTCCTGCCTGGAACTCCACAGAGGCAGAAGTGCAGAGTGGCAGGGGGCTCCTCGGAAGTGGGGCCGGAGCGCACTGGCTGCTGGCCCCACCCCCAGGGACTATAGAATAGTCAAGTACCTGAGAAGCATTCATGAGGTTAATCAGCTATTCAATTAACTGATATTTATCATCTTTATTATGTACTACTCATTGTACTTCATGTGCAGTACTTAAGAATCTAATTACACTATAAATGTAGATAAAACAGAAATGCAGATGTGGATCCGTTGCCCGTTTCCTCTGCTGTCAACATTTATTGTGCTTAATACAGAAAATAGCAGTAATTAGCCTGACTTGAGACAGTCTGCATTAAACATTTCTGCTTTTCTTCTTGTAATATTAGATTTGTCTGTTTTGCACCATAAAGACTTAGTGTCTGTACATAACATTGTCCAGTTATTTTGGCGAAGAGATCTAATATGCTTGAAATCATATACTGCTGATCTTATAGTAAAGTGGCTGCTTATTGAAAAGTGAGTTTACGTACAGTAGTTAAAACATGACCAATTTGAGTCAATGGCAACTGTTGTGTTTGTGTCTGAGAGGCTTAAGAGTAAAACACATTAATGTTTAAAAATTTGCTGGTAAGACTAACTTTACTACTGTTTTCTGTATCCAAGTGAAGTGACTGCGATGTGTCAATGTATTCTTGCACTAAAGTGTTTATAAAGTGAATGCACCCTTCACATATAAAGGATCTTCATTTTATTATATATCCTTTATGTCTTGGTTTTTAGGAGCACTGAACTGCATTTTAACTGTGTTTATAATGGTATTTTTTAATACATCCCACTGACAAAGTGTACTTTGAGACCCATTAAATCGTTATTCCAGCATGGGTTGCTAACTAAAGCCACAACTCTGCTGAGGAATGTGGCTAGACCAGTAGTTCTCAAACTTCTTTGCACCTTGACCCCTCTCTGACCATAAAAATTACTACACAACCCCTGAAAGAACCCTGATTGCACCTGACCCCATTGACCAGGTAAAGGATAAAGCTGAGGTCCAAGGGTTTCAGCTTCAGGTGAGGGGCCTGTAATCTAAGTCCCAACACACAGTGCTGAACCCTCAGGCTTTGGCCTCTGAGGGTGGGGCTTGAGCTTTAGCTCTGGGCCCCAGCAAGTCCGAGCCCATCTGGCAAACCCATTGAAAGGGAGTTGGGACCCACTTTTGGGGTCCTGACCCACAATTTGAGAGTCATTGGGTTAGACTGGGCAAAAAAAATAAAACCCATGAGCCAAAAACGGCCCACCAATCCACCAGATCCCATGAGAGCCTCTGCCAGGCTTCCTGCCTGTCCCACCCCCATATGGTGCTTAGAGCAGCTCTCTGAATGCTGTAAGCCTGCGGAAACGGGGAAAAAGGCTTTGTGTGCTGTCCTGCCCCCCGGCACAATCTTGCAGCTCCCATTGGCCTGTTTGCAGGACAGGCAGTGCATTAAGTGCCCCTCCCTACTCCAACCTCACAGTGTTCAAACCTACATGACCCCTGTAGCTAGTGCAAGGGCATGGAAGTGAGGGAACCCTGGCTGAGGAACCACTAAATTCTTGGAGTGGGTCCCCCCCCCCCCCCCCCCCCAGTTAGACACTACATGAATGAGATTTAAAACCATCAAGGAACAGAGTAGGTAAGATACAAAGCTCAAAGATTTGTTAGAAAGAATTATAGTGGAGTAGTACCACTAGTGAAGATGAGGATGAGTCTGGCTCACTGTGCAACAGCTGTGTGTGTGTGTGGTTCTAACAAAGAAACTAAGCAAAAACTAGGGAATGTGGAAAAGAGGCAAGACAGAAATGAATGGAAGAGAGGCAGCAAATGAGACAGTAATGGTAGTTGGTTTAAAAAGCAGAATGATTCCCAAAAATCCAAATTCAATGACCTACATTATTAAACATTTACACAAACTTAACCCACTGAATTTAATTTCTAGAATAGATTCTAGAATGTTAATTTAATTATTATTTTAGAAGCAATTTAAATGTTGTTTTTGACATAACTACAAAAAAGTGTATTTAACATGTACATTCCTTTGCAGCAGTTCTCCAGTTCTTTAATTCTTCAGACTACTTCATAAGGGAAAGATAACTCTATGGATCACCTTCTCTTCTAGCCTACCCTCACCTCCCCACCCTCCAGTGTATAGTTCCTAAAACATTTAATTTTGCTGACCATCAGAAAAAGCTTCATACTCCACTATTGGTCCACCGATTGCACTTTGAGAAGCACTGTCTTACTATCAATATCACTGGTTTTTTGTTTTGTTTTGGGAGGGTTTTTTTTTGTTTGTTTCTTAACAATAGCTTGTCTTCCATTGGTGCACATAGTAAACGATGCTATTGGTGATTTCTACATCATCGGTATGCACTGTTCTGTTTTGACTGTTAAATTCTTTTGTTTATTTGGATACTAGATTCTCCCTGAATTGTTTGGCCATTTATGAAAAGTTTGCAAACTATAATATCCATAGCAGAATGTATGGCATATTCATGTTAGAATTTGCACGTCTAATAATAAAACATCAGATGACAATTGTGAATTTATAGTAAGACATTCAACTAAAAAAGCCTGTCTCCTAAACAAGTTTCTAATGGGATACTTCACATGGTTAGAGGAAACCAACTGCTACACCTCATTTGCTTGTTTAAATTCTGGTTGTTTTTGCATGCCATATTGCAGATCATTTTCATTTCTGTGTTTTCCTCGTTTGAGCTCATTTCTCATTCGTGTTTTTGTCTCATTTGTTTCCATTAGCAAATGCCCAGCACACCAGGGTTTGTGGGATACAATCCATACAGCCATCTGGCCTACAACAACTACAGGCTGGGAGGGAACCCGGGCACCAACAGCCGGGTCACGGTAGGAGAATCAACTATTACATCATCCGGCAAACAACAGGAATTGACCAGAAATGGCTTTAGAGTTAGGTTCTTCTGAATCTTGGCTGCTGCCAATTTTATAAAGATAGACTATTAACTCTGATTTTTTCCCCATCTTCTCCCCTCTCCTACCTCTCCCTTTCATTGTGAAGCCTTGTACTGGAAAATAAGCTTCTGTTTAATAGATCGAGAGACTATTATTCCCATCTGAAATGTGGATTTTTTTTTTTAATTCCATGATTTGAAGCCTCAATGATCACTACACATTTATGGAAGGAATCTTAAGTATGGGTGTGGACTATATTTTCCTCTTGGAGGGAGGAAATTATAAATTGTATTGAGGCTATAGGCACCAAATTTTTAAAAAAAAAGGCAAGTTCCAGACTGGAAATTGTAACTGGTAATTACGTCTCACTATTGTGCCATGTAGGACCAATCTTTATTTTCCATTCCAGTCTTACGCTATATGGTTAGTATCAGATCTCTAGATTCAGCAGTGACTTCTCCAACCAAATGAGTAGTATTGATAAAATATGAGGGGGCCTGTTTTCTGCTGGATGAAATCTGGATGCTTTTTGTAGGCCCTTCAAGGAATACTTGAAATAAAGTGGGAGGAAATGTTCTGATATGGGATAATTCTGAGCTTGAGTAAAGATACAAAACACAATCTGCATACAGGCAAGAAAGAAAATAAAACTTTAGATGCACACTTTTCTCCTAATATTTAATGTAAAATCTGTAGTCATACAGTATTTTCTAAAATTAATATAAACATGCTCATTTATTTGTATGCATTTTTCCCAAAGATGTGTAAAATTTTATTCATACAATTTCTAGTCACTTCAGATTGTAAACATAAAAACAGTCATACTGGGTCAGACCAATGGTCCATCCAGCCCAGTATCCTGTCTGCTGACAGTGGCCAATACCAGATGCCCCAGAAGGGAGGGAACACAACAGGTAATCCTCACGTGATCTCTCCCGTCACCCACCTCCCGAAAAACAGAAGCTAGGGGCACCGTTTCTACCCAAGCAAATAAGAATTTGTCAGTTAATTTGTAGGTGATGCCGTTTAATACAGTCTACCTTTTTAAACTCCATAACTTCAGCTCATTTAATAAGGTGCTTAAAGAAAAGATCCCTTGCCCTGTAGTAAAGGTATGAGCTGGCGTTTGATCAGAGTGTCTGAACTTACTTTTATGTCACTGAATACATGAGTAGATTAGATGTCAGAATTTTCATTGTTTCTGTACGTCATAAGCATATGCAGCTTTCTCTACCATGTATATATCAATATGTATGGTATCTTTAAATTCCTGTTAATTTAAAAGCATTAAACAGTTTCAGTTAATGTTTTTCAAATCCATTTCTGTGTGTATATATGTATACATTTGGTAATGCATACACCTCATTTACATTACAATTCTATGCAAGAATATATGCATTGTTTCATAGAATTTCATAAATGTAGTAAAACTTTAAAATATCCAGATTAAAATATTGAAAGCAAGAACACTCAACATTACCCTTCTTGGCCCTTTGAATCTACTGCTGTTATAAACTTATTTGATGTCAGTATATTATTCCATGTGGAACAAACTTTGTCTTATAATAAATGCGCTATTTTTAACTGAGGTGGTGTATAAATGGAAGAGAGCAGAAAAATGAATGGATGCTACAGCTTTCAATCAATAACAATTACTGTTTAGTGTCTTTTTTTTTTTTAAGTACAGGCAACGTGCTTGGCATTGTACAAACCTAAAGGAAGACAAGGTCTCTCAAGGAGCTCACAATCTAATTTGGACAAGAACAGTGCAATTTGGACTCAAATGATGCAAAGGTTGAGGGATCAGTCTCATAGAGATTTTTTTTATTATTTGGATCGACTCCAAGTTACCATTGAAAGGTTTTTTGGAAGAAGCATATTTCCAAGATGGACTGAATGAAAGAATGTCTGGATAATTTCCTACTCTTTCACACTTTCTCCTTTTCCTTTTTCTCCCCGTAGTAATTTTAGTTTGTCAGAGCAGGTACCATAACAGTCATTCACATCAAAACAAACTGTTGGGACCAGTGAGCAGAAGCAAATTTTTAGACTCTCTTTTTTAGTTTTCAGAAAACTGTTTGTGTTTGGATTTTTATTGAGTAACTTTTTTCAAACTAATACTTGGACAAATAAATTTGGGTGGTGTGGGTGAAATTTGGCCAACTATTCTGAGGACTAGTTATAGTACCTGTATATGTACTTAATATATGAGAGTATTTATATTCTCAGACTACTATGTATTGAAGTTGCCTAGTTTTCATGTTAAGAAACGGATTCATCTGTTTTGTTTTTGTTTTTTATAGGCTTCCTCTGGTATTACAATTCCTAAACCTCCAAAGCCACCGGATAAGCCTCTGATGCCCTACATGAGATACAGCAGGAAGGTGAGTAAACAGTGTTTTGGATTTTGAGTTACTAAATAGCAATAAAGGTTAAGTTTATGCCAACAATTGATTAGTTATTTTAGTTCCAACTTCTAAACATTGTTGAAAGGTTCTTACAACCCGCCAAGCTTACTTATTCATATAAGAAATCTTAAAACACAGTTGTTTTCCCCATCAGAATAATGGCAACTATGGTCTACCCATATGACACCTTTTGTTTTTCCCTAGAAAGAGATTATCCCCCCCCCCCCCAAAAAAAAGGGGTCAGCACCCTCTAATTCCCTGTCTTATATCTCCAAGGTTAGAAGAGGCAAAATTAAGATTTTCTTTGAATGGTTATTTACTGCCATGGCCTCTGCTGTCAAACATCCACCTTCTCCACATAGAACATATTGTCAGAGCTTCCTCTATATAGAGAACGCTTGTTGTACCATAGTACAGTACTGTAGCTAGACTTGAAGAGTAGCAAGGGGAGGAATGTGTGTCTTTAGCTAACTAACTAATTGAAGAGTAGCAAGGGGAGGAATGTGTGTCTTTAGCTAACTAACCGGTGGTAGTGCTGCTGCACTCTTCTATGAAGTGTTAGAAAGGCAATGGGAAATTGAGTATTGTGGATAGTTGGAATCTGATTCAACATGACGAGGGAGTGTGATCCATTTTCAAGGAGTGGGTGGGTCAGAAGGAAATATACATGCTTTCCTGCTTCTGGTAAAGTCTCTTTACCAGCAGTCTGAATTAAGCCAACAACCCTCACTCCTCCTATCAAAGTCAAATGGTATTCCTAAGCGCACATGGCAAGTAATAACACTGGCAGCTTTCTTTTTTTATCTAAAAGTTAAATACTTTTTTTTTTGGGGGGGGGGGGGTTGTTGGAATTTAAATTGATCAATATGACGACTAAAAATTTGTTGAATACAGAAAGGTCCAAGTTCTGATCTTAAAAGTTCAGTGCATTGTCATGGATCTGAACATAAATGGTGCTAGACATGTTTGCATGATATGTTAATTTTTTTTCCCAGAGACACTGTGAGGTGCATTTTTAGAATAGAATTCTTAGGTTTAAGGGCCAGATTTGCAACTGAAACTGTTGTCAATCAATCAGGTTGCTGGTTTAAGTAGTTGACTGTAGTACTGTCTCCATGCCCCAAAAAGTAATCACTGACGGTAGCTAGACTTTTTCTTAATATAGTTTTGTTTTACAGTGATCTTTTCTAAAAGAATATCATGATGAATATTAAGGATGTTAGCTATTGTGTATTTTAGTAATTGTGTAGCCACAATAGTTTTTAGCAGGTACATGGTTACTAAAATACTCCCCAGGGTTCGGGGCCAGCAGCTATGTGGTCCTGGCTCCCTGCCCCACTCCTGGGGTGCCCCCTGCCACTTCACATTGCTGACTCTGTATCAGAGGCAGCAGAGTGGGGCAGCAGCAGCCCCTGACTGTGGGGGGCCTGAGCTACTTGTGGACAGAGGCTGTGCTGGCATTCCACAGAGCAGCATTTGTCTGCAGCGAGCCCTGATCCACCATGGACAGAGACTGCTCTGTGGCAACAGTCCCTGTCTGCGGGACCCGAGCTCCCTGCAGATAGAGACTGCACTGGCATCCCGCCTTCCCCTCTCCCCGCACTGCACTGTTGCCTCTGACACAGAGAAAGCAGTGTGGGGGGAGAATGGCTACACAGAGACAGTGCTCATGGGGAACCTGCTTTTAAGCCAGCTCCCCCAAGCACCAGCTCCCTCCTTCCCCCTGCGATGCTGCCTCTGTAGAAGCAGGTAGGGGAGGTGGCTCTGTAGGAACTGGCACCCACCGGGAGCCAGCTTTAAGCTGGATCCCCATGGGCATTGGTTCCCACCTCCACCCAGATACAGAGGCAGCAAGGGAGGGGGGAGTTGTGTGTAGCCGTTTGAATAAACTGAAGCTTATCAGTTAATAGTTGAAACAGCTATACACTAACATCCCTAATGAATCCGTAGTTAAGCTCCAACTGTTTCTGTTAAGGTCTGGGACCAAGTGAAGGCATCCAACCCTGACTTGAAATTATGGGAAATTGGCAAGATCATTGGAGGGATGTGGCGAGATCTCACTGATGAGGAGAAGCAAGAGTACTTGAATGAATATGAAGCAGAAAAGGTAAAGGGATTAAATATTTTGTTGTTAATGCTGATGCTCCCATTTTATGTCCTAGGCACCACTGGCATAGAAGAGTTAAGCTTGTTCCCCAGTGCAGTTAGGTATTTAATCATGCCCGACTGTAAGCACATGAATAGTCCTGTTGAAGTTAATGGAGTAGTCTGATGCTCTCAGTTTAGCATATGCTTAAGTGTCTTACTAAATTAGGGCCTTGTGACATTTCACGGTACATATAAATAGAAAATAACTTTATCTACTCCTTCCCAGGATTGTTCCCCACATTATGTCCTGCTTTAGCCCTGCCAGGCCCCCAGCACAGAGGCGAGCAGAAGTAGCCACAGCAGCTCCTGCATAGGAAACAGAGCTGCTGCATCAGAGCCACCTGGCTGGAGCAACCCCTGTCTACAGTGGGGACTTCTCTAACTCAATCCCAGCGGGCGGGGGGAGCACTCTAGCCCTGCTGAAGCAGTGTCCCTCCCCCACCCACTCCCTTTAAAGGGTTAAATGCAGTTGATAGCAGTATGTTTAACCAGTTAAACAGGGTTTTACATCCCTAATGGACCTTCATATATAGACCCAACTTAAAATGAATTTTTTATATTTTAATAGGAATTTTAACTGAGTGGACTTGATTTTTCCACAACAAAATCCTTGAAAAGCTGATGCTCTGTAGCTTCAGCTGGCCAGTTATGAATAACGTGTATGAATTGTTTTCTGTGGTCTAGCCTTGCAAAATTCGACTGGGCCAAACTGTGTTTTGTTTTGGTTTTGGCTTTTTTTGGTGGGCAAGTATTCATTAGCTTTTCATTACAGATCATCATCGCAAAGGACACTAATATATCTTGTGTCTGTGCTGACAGTTTTAAAGAGTTTTTCAACACTACTGAAGTAATAGGTGTTCAGAGACCTGTAAGACAGTTAGGAGCTATTTGTTGGACATCTCTTTTTCATTTATTGTGTTGTGTTAAAATTGCATGAATCTGAGGTGACAGGTTACTTGGTCAAATAGGTGCTTGCTGTTTTCATCCAAAATATTACCTTAATAGTTTTAACCAACAGAAAAATTCTTTTTAAATTAGGGTTCTGTCATTTGAAACAAATTCCTTAGAGTTAAGTTCCTACTTCTTGCTAAATAAGTCCTTTTTATTGACTGTAAATTTGAAGGCACCTTCCAGTACATACTGCAGTATCATACAGTACAACTGAACTTTAATGCAGAGCATCTCAAAACAAGTGAAAGGCCATTTTCAAAATAGCAGTTATTAATGTTTTTCAATCAGACTGGATGGGGGTACCTATTAGGGTTCAAGAGGGGGGTCAGACTTTTCATTAATGACTTGAAAGCATTTGCAGATGCTACCGGGATGGAAAGGGTTGCAAGTCCTTTGGAGGACAGGAAAAGAATTCAAAACAAATTGGAGAACTGAATTCAACCTTGATAAGTGCAGAATACCACACATAGGAAAGAAAAATCAAACACACAACTACAAAAGAAGAATAAATATTACGTGGGGATTATAATGGATCACAAATTGCATGTGAGCTAATACTGTGATGCTATTGCAAAAAAAGTCAGGTATCGTTTTGGGGTTTATTAAGAGGAGTGGTGTGTGTAAAACACAGGAGGTGATTGTCCCACTCCCTTCAGCACTGGTGAGACTTCAGCCTCAGTACTAGGTCCCATTTTAGGCCCCACTCTTTGGGAAAGGTATGACCAAATTGAAGAGAGTCCAGAGAATAACAACAAAAACAATAAGTTAAGAAAACCTGACCTTATGAGAGTGTGTAAAGGGCTGGACATGTTTAGTCTTGAAAACAGAAAATTGTAAAGAAGAGAGGCTCATACATTTTCAAATCTATGAATGGCAGTTAGAAAGAGGACTCTGATCAATTGTACTTCCATATCCACTGAATGTAGGACAAGAATCTGCAGCAAGAGAGACTGGAGTTAGATATCAAGAAAAAGCTCTCTGTCAGGGTAGTTAAGCTCTTGAATAGGTTTCCAAGGAAAGTTGTGAAATCCCCATTGTTGGAGAGTTTTAAGAACAAGTTGGACAAACACCTGTCCGGGCTAGCCTAGACTTACTTGGTCCTGTCTCTGTAAAGGGACTAGACTTGATGGCTTCCCTTCCAGCCCTACATTTCTGTGGTTCTATTAAAATGCTTTACACAATCCAAATAAAACAGGTTTTAAAAGTGAGATTTTAAAAAGTGGTTGAAATGGGAAGTAAATCCATGTAGGCAGGTACAGTGATAAAATTCTGCTACCTGAAATAGATTAGTTGCATCGCCCCTAGCCATGTGTAGGGAGGGACTAAAGAACAAAATAAGAGAATGAAAAGTGGGATTTGCAGTACATGATAATAAAATTGACAAAAATAAATGATCCTGTCCTGGAGGAAGGGATAAGCACACTCTGATATAAGCAGTATTGGAGTGAGGGAGAACAGGAAGTGAGGGAGAACAGGAAATCAAGGTTAACTCTCCGGATTTCTAGATTTGTAAAGAAGATGGTGTATTAGAATAAAAAACATGGGCGGACCCTGCAATAGTTGTAGTCAAAACAAAGAATTGATTGCAAGATTTAATCTTTAATCATAGCCGTGAGGATAGTATAAGATTTCCCAGAATTATTTTCTTCTTGAATCATATGTGTAGGTGCCCCACCAACACTGAAATTAGTGCATACCAAATAAAAAGCAATATGAAATAGGTTTGTTAATTCTATCCCCCACAGAAAGTTTTTTTTCCCTTAGGAATCTGGCTGAGGGGTCTTGTCCACATGCCTCCAGTCTAACTGATAACCATTCTTGCAGTTGGGAATGAATTTTCCTTCAGGCTGGATTGTCAGAGACCCAAGGGGTGTTTTGCCTTCCTCAGAAGCATGGGTCGCCTGCTGGTTTGAATTATATTAAACAGGAGGATTCTCTCTAACCTGAAGTCTTTAAATCAGGATCTGAGGACTTCAGTAATAGGTCTATTGTAGGAGAGCATGACGGAGATTCCGTGGCCTGTGATGTGCAGGAGATGAACTAGATGATCACAGTGGTTCCTTCTGACCTTAGTTTCTGAGTCTGTATCTAAAAGAGAAATGTGGTAAAAAGGGAGTCAAAACATTCATAACAGATTGTCTTTTTGGACCATTTGGCTGATGTCAACAAGCAAAACAGCATTGTCAGAGTACGTAAGATTAGTTTTTATTGCAATCAAAACTATATCCGTCAAATTTCAGATAGAGTACAATGAATCCATGAAGGCCTACCATAACTCGCCTGCTTACCTAGCCTACATCAATGCAAAGAGTCGGGCTGAGGCTGCGTTGGAGGAAGAAAGCCGACAAAGACAATCACGCATGGAGAAGGGTGAACCTTATATGAGCATCCAGCCAGCAGAAGACCCAGATGGTAAGCAAAAAGGAGATTTACATTTTCAGTGAGGTATATTTTCACCTTGGGACATAAAATCTAGAGTAAGTTTCAGGCAGTTGTTTTATTTATTCTCTCAGTTGTGAAAGCAGTTAATTGACTGATTTATTCCTGGATTAATTAATAATGGGAAACACTGCACTAGGGAAGTAAAAGGTTAATTGATAAGTCTCACCCTTAACGATTCCGATTAATCAGTAGGTGCTGGAGCAGCTCGCTGTCCGGACTGGGCAGGAGGCTGCTCTATCCCCACAAGGCCCACCGCAGACACAGGCTGCTCTGACCAGCCAGAGCAGCCCCTTTCTAAGGTGGGCCTGGCTCCTCTGCCACAGGTTAAACATGAGTGCCTCATGAGCTTGCTCCCATCCTTGTGATATGTTGCTGTAGTAAAAGCTGCATTTTTTTTCCCATGCACCTCTTCTATGAAATTTAGTATGGAAGCCTCCCTGCCTCATAGAGGCAACGAAGCCACCTCCTCAGGAGCTGGGTGGGCAAGGCCTGGTGGCCTCGCTCCCAGGAACGTTTCACTGCGGGCTCTGCAGTATAAAGCTAAGTATAAAACTTCATACTGTAGAGCCCACAGCACATGTAACTGCTAAAATTTTTAGTGGTCACATGGTTTAGCTTTTTCAATGACTTTACATCCCTATACTGCACAAACACGGAACGTATAACTCTAGTACTAACTTTAAAAATCATCTTACTCCAAACTATGTGGTAAGATGACACCGCTGTTCTTCAATTTAAGACTGACCACCAGCAGCCAACGCACTCAACGTTCTTGTAAAGCTCTAGTTGGTAGGGTGGCAACCCTGTTAGAAATACTTTCAAATGTCTGTTTCAAACTAAACCAGTTGACAGCTATATGTGGTTTAGACTACAATTGTACTAAAACGTCCATTCTAAATTGCACAGCAGAGGTGAAGGGGGGAAAAATGTAGCTTTCACTACAGCAACATACCACAAGAGTTGGGAGCGAACTCATGAAGCACTCACATGGCCATTCCTGCCCAATGCTGAGCATTGTAACCTGGTGCAATGGGTTGCAGTGCCATTCAGATGTTATCCCCTTTGCCCCTCTGTAGATGGAAATGGAGGAGCTGATGGGTCAAGTGTCATTGCCTTGCAACCTAGCATACAGAGTCTCAGAACCAGGTGGCAACAACACTTGGTTTGAAGCCTAATCATATGTACTTTTACAGACATTTCTAAGATTTCATTATCTTTAGTCAAATTCACATTTTCTGTGATCTCTGACAAAATGTACAGGCCTGTTCAGGTAGTCCCTTGTACTTCATAAGGCTCCCTCATTCCTATTTGAATTAAATGTTTTACTTTACTTCATTGTTGCCTTTCGACTTATTCTTTAGAGCGATTGAACACACTTATGCCATTTGTTCAGCTGCTTCTGTCAATCAAAAGATAACTTGTCAGCACAAAGGGCAACTTAATGAGAAAACTGTCAAAACATTTTCTTTACCTAAAAGGAAATACCTCTCTGGCATCCATATCACACCCACTGAGAAGTCACGCAAAGATATTGTCCATTTCATTTTTAAAATTATGCTAAAATATGATAAAATAATTATCTGTTGAAACCTGAAGGTGAAAAATGAAGCTAGGCAATTACACCCTTATTTTTCCCCTTCCACCAAGAACAACCATGAAATAATTCCTATGGTAAGTAGCACTTCCCACTGCGTGCAGTACAAGCTGAGTAAAACAGGAATGTTCGTGGAATATTCTAACAATTGTCATTTCATAAGCTACTTTACAACTTGATTATATCTGTGTCAAATTCAACTTGCATGTAATCATGGGCATCGCCCACTAAAGTGAATTGTACTTGTTTTTTGGGAGTGAATTTGGTTCATGATTTGACAGCATAGAAAGGAACTTGCAATCTCATGCTAAAATTGCAAATAGCTTATTATAATTTTCTAATGGTAGAAGGCTCTTGAGTTTAGGAGATGAAGAGATGACAAGATCTAGTGTCAAGAAACTGAAGCTAGACAAATTCAGAGTAGAAATTAAACTTTTTAAATTAAAGCAGCAAACGTAGTAACATTATTTTAATTTGTATGTGGTGGATTCTGTCAGTTGAAGTCTGTAAATCAGGATCGAATGGCTTTCTAAAAGATGTGTTCTGAGGCAAAAATCTGAAGTTAGGGGCCTCTTTCAGCAATCATTTGGTAAAATGTTAAGGTTAATGATTATAAAGGTCCACATTGGCTTGAAAATCTATGAAATAACTAAGTTATTGTGCCAAGTTTTCTGCAGTCTTTTTATTTTCAAATTAATCTAATGCTGTATACATCCCAAATGTGAAACTGTTGTGTTTTGGTTTTGGGGTTTGTTTTTTTTTCCAGGAAAGCAATATTCAGGCTGACTAGCTTTAGTGAAAATTAGTCTTTTCAGAAATACTTTCTGGCATAATACATTTAATTTGGGGGGGTTCCCCTCCAGTTTTGTGACAAGTGAAACAACAGTCTTAATATGTACAGCCAGTCCACGACTTACAAACAAGTTACATACCAAACACTAGATCGTAACTCGATCTATTCGTAAGTTGGATTACATTCACTTACGTACGGCCTCACTGTTTGTAGGTGCGGATTTTGTTCGTAATTCAAGTTCCAGCTTTATAGGTGGTTGGTTGTAAATACGGACGGTCGTAAATCGATGCGTTTGTAACGCAGGGACTGGCTTCTACCTCATAACTGGGAAAGTTGTGCAAAATAAAAAACACAACTTAGAATAACAAAATATTTTTGTAATCATTTAAAGGAGATGGGGAAAGACTTTTCAGTGATGACAATGAGGATAGAAAATGAAAACATATCAACCTTAAAAGCTCAGAAACCTCTTTGTTGTTGCAGCGATGTGGCAAACTGGCGTGGCAGCTAGCTCAACTAGTCCTTGTGGAATCTGTTGCGGCACATTAACAGTTCCTTAATGCGCTTTCACCTAGTCCATTTTGAAACTGGTGAGATCAAAATGCATTAATGAACAGATAATGCACGTCACCTGTATCCAAACAACAGGCCCCTTGGTGGGAGGGCAAAGGAAGAGGTTCCAGCTGCTGCTGCTATGGCAACAGCAGGAACCCCAGGCTCCTTTGAATTGCCACCAAAACACTGTTCTGCACGGCTCTGAGGGTTGGAAGCGATGGGGGCGTGCACTGAGATCTGGGTGGCATTAAGGGCTGACTGCTGTAGGACCCGTCCCTTGCAGGGCACGGAGCTTGGGGGATTCCCCCACGCACACCTTGTCCCGAAGCCTGCGATGGCTGTAGGCCCTGCTGCCAAACAGCAGACTGTAGCAGTTTAGTGTAGGGTAGATTAACATGTCACTTTGCCCTAAACTAAACAGTCCAGTAGACCAGTCCTAAAATAAGAGAAAGACAGCTTAATAATTGGAGATCTTTCTTTTCTGGTGTGATTTTAAAATGTTGCTCTGCTTTTGAAAGTGAATAGCTAGTACATTCAATAATCTTGGTTAATATAACTGTTTCACTATTAGTTACACGTAATCCTCAGAATAACATCTGCCTAAACTCCCGTTTTGTCACAGAGCTAGAGCTTCATTTTAATTAAGGAAAACATTTCTTTGTCACATACCTTTTGGGATGGTTCGTCATAGACTTGAGACCAAGCCTTTCTCTGGTATTTTCTCCTCCTAGCACTTGACATTTGTTAACTATAACTTTCTTTTAATGCATGATTCACTTTTTTTTTTCCTAGTAAGGTATTTTTACTAATTCATTGTTTGGCTTCTGGGAACAAACTTAGAGTAGGTTTTGTTTGTGTGGCTTTTTTGCATTAGGACCTCAGATGCTGAGCATTTGCCATTTCTATTTACTTTACTTTGCATTGCAGTTGCTCAGCACCTATAAATACTAGGCCCGTTTGGTTTGAGCTATGAAGTTTACTTTTGTTGAACTTTGTTTTGTGTTCTAATGAAGAATGTATTGTATTGAGCACCATATATTGTTAAGTTTCATTATCAGACTTTGTATAATCAATGTAGTGTTTATCTCTCTTGTTCGTGACACAGGAAAAGTAGTGGGTTGTCATGGGCACTAATAATTTCTGTTCAAAGAGAATAGCTCAATTTGTTGCCATGTATGGGGTCTGACTGAAATCATAGCTCCCATATTCTGCTGTCTCACAGCACATAGAATACAGCACATCAGAACTGAGTTTGATTCTTTTATTTGATACTCTGTAATTCTAATATCTTTGTACATAAATGTATTTGTGGCATCATGGCAACAGTTCTGTTCCTGATTGAATTGAAGACTTCAATGGATGCATTTTAATGAGACTTGCCACTTGACTTGTCTAATTTGTCAAATTTTTGTTTCAGATTATGATGATGGATTTTCGATGAAGCACACGGCTACAGCTCGTTTCCAGAGGAACCACCGTCTGATCAGTGAGATACTGAGTGAAAGTGTGGTACCAGATGTCCGTTCTGTTGTCACTACAGCTAGAATGCAAGTTCTCAAACGCCAAGTTCAGTCCTTAATGGTTCATCAGGTAAAGATTAATTACTTAAAAGTTATTAAATATAATGGTTCTGGGCTGCACTCCAAGTTTAAAGTCATTTAGATCATCTACATGAATGTACTTGTTGACATCTCAGTACTCTTCATGCCCCAGATAACTAATCTCTCCCTGGCTTTTTGGGAGGAGCAAGGGATAAGTGCAAACTTCTTTGATTCCCATGCATCATATAAAATTGTGACATTGTATTTACTAAAAGATAAAATGGAGTTATTAAAAGATGTTGATTAACCTCATAATTGTAACCTCTTAAATATTATAGTACATCATGTCAGTCATCTGCAATTATATAACCCTTAAAAAAATGTAGAGAAGAAGCTTTTGATTTAAAGATATTGGTGCAGTTGTGACTTTCAGTAGCATGTTACCTATAGCTATGTGTTTGTTAGTGGCCCTTTATCAATGTGGTAAATCTCTTGCTTTTTTAACATTTGTAACTGTATGTTAAAGGCATAAGTAAATATCTAATAGTCACATTTAAGACAAATTTTAGTTAATTTCAACTGTATAGATTCCTCTGTGTGTACCAATTGAAAAGGCAAAGCTGACATATAAAATGCATATGTATGTACATATACATAAATTATGGCAAATTAGGCAGACACGAGAAAGAGGGAAGACTTCTTTTTCAACTATAAAAGAAAGGAGAAAATGTGTTGCATCCTATTTCCTTCTCTTATGTTAGTTTCCATTTAGTGCATATAATGCATGAGACACTCTAAATATGTAGAAAGATACTGATTGCATGTCTGAAGATTGCAAGCTCTTCAGGTCAAGCACCTATCATCTTATGTGTTTGTAAAGGGCTTAGAATGCCTTAGGACTCAATATAATTCAATTTCTTTATGAATTCTTATTGCTATCATGTGGGATGGGAGACCTCTCTCATTTGCACATTTCAACCATTGAGCATCAAATCAGGAAAATCAGATTCCACCATAAGGGTGAGATGGATATTAAAAATGTATTTACACTGTGTGCATCAAACCATTGTATCCAATATTTGGTATATTTGATTATTAAGTTTCATAATTCGGTTACTTTTACTTTTAGCGAAAACTAGAAGCTGAGCTCCTTCAAATAGAGGAGCGTCATCAGGAAAAGAAGAGGAAGTTTTTGGAAAGCACAGAATCCTTTAACAACGAACTGAAAAGGGTAGAACTTTGAAATATTCTCTCCTCTAGAACATTACTTGTTGCACATTATTCAAAATGAGTACTCTGCCTAGCTAACGTGTAGCACTTTTAAATGTAGAGGGTTCATGTTCCAGAATATTTTTTGTGATGCTCTAGATCTAGAAAATAGAGCAAGTGTTGGCCAGAGGGCTTCCTAGTATCTTGGTGATTCCAGGCTTCTGTGATAGGGCTGTTGTCAGCTAACATAATTAAAAGCAGCTTTCATACTGTTATAAATGAAGTCAAGGAGACCAACGCTTTGTTCGCAAGATCAAAAAGATAGGAAAGATGGTTTAAAGCCACCCTTGTGTTCACGCTTCTCAAATATACTTTGTATTCCTTAAATATAGGCCTACAATGTTCTTCTGATTTTGCTCCATAATCTTATCACAAATCTCTGAGAGAATTGGTCTTCTATAGCTGCTGGAGCCCTTCGTTTTGTATTCTTAAACTTAAAAACCAAGGTGCTGACATTGGTCAGTAAAATATGCAACTCCAGCTACACGAATAGCGTAGCTGAAGTCAAGGCATCTTCGTTTGAATTTCCATGGTATCCCCGCTGCAGGAGGTTGACGGGAGAATCTCCCATTGACATGCCTTACTCCTTGCGACCTGGTGAGTACCAGAGTCAGTGGGTGGCCAGATCAATTAGACCCACTAAAAAGACCCCAAAGATATCCATCTCCACTGCGTTGATCTCTTGGTAAGTGGATACAAGGCCATTGTGTCCCATGCAGAATTACTGGACTCAAAATGACGTTTTTCTGTTTGTTTTTTTATTTCAAAATGCATCCTTAATGCGCAAGAACTGCTTTGCCTGGCACCCAAATGCTAACCTGTGAGAGAAAAGTACTGGATTAATAAAAGGGTTTTTCTCTTCTGGTTTGCTAGTTATGCAGTTTGAAGGTGGAGGTGGACATGGAAAAAATAGCAGCTGAAATTGCTCAGGCTGAGGAACAGGCCCGTAAGAGGCAAGAGGAAAGGGAAAAAGAAGCAGCTGAGCAAACTGAACTCAGTCAGACTAATGCAGCCGCTGAGGAAGAGCAAGCAGTCAACAAGACGGAGGAGAAGAAGGAAGAGGAGAGCATTCCCATGGAGACAGGTAACTGCATGTGAAAGCTGGCTTCAGAACTCTGTTACATCAATAAAACAAACAAGAAAGGCCATCACTAAGGTTTAAGGTTTTTTTTTGTTTTTTTTTTAACCTTTAAACAACTTGAATTTTGAAACGGAAAAAAGTGTAGTAACAAAAACAGCATATCGATTGTAACAAAACAGGTAGTTTTCACTGCACCAGAAGAAGCCCTCCAATGTTCCCTCTAATCTTTTCCATCCATGTGCAGAATAAAAATAATTTGCACTGAGACACATGTGACTGTGCACCACCCGTAGAAACAAAAAGCCTAGAAGTGGACCCTCTGCTAATCAGCTAAGCAGCATTTGAATCTCTCTGGAGTGGCCACACAAGCACACACCTTAGAGGGAACACTGTAGACCTCCCTCTGCTTTTAACAAACATAGGAAAGCTACACTTTTCTGACTGTACTTTTTAACCCTTACTTGCTTCCCCTCCCTGAAATTTGCTTGCCAAACCTACAGTGCAAAAGAATTAGATATTGTAACCATGACTGATGCATCATTTTCAAGCACAGCTTGTTGTCATAACAGGTAGGGAGAGGTGACTGTGGTAGAGAAGTTGGAGTTTTATTGCTTGTTTTATTTATTATATGTGGCTAGCATTCTTCTTAGAGTTAGAGGCTATAGGGTACTTCAAAGAAGTAGTGTGGAAGGTACCTTGTATATGAGTGGTGGGCAACATGCTGTCCATTAGGGTTGTGTGTGTGACCCACAAGACATTTTGTTTATTGTTGCCCATGCACAGGGCTGCCAGATTCTGCTAGTTTCTGTCCATGTTGTTTTTTTCCTACCAGTATTACTAAAATGATACACATGTAAAGCAAGGGCACGTGAAGTGAGGTGTATTCCAATTGCACATGACACTGACTGAGAGCCTTACATTCCCTCTGCATCCAGTCAGAGCGCTGCTGTGGCTCAGTCTGCAAACTCTGCAAATTCTAAGTACACAAGCACAGTGAGCAAAATTACCCTCTCCCAGGAAGCCATCTTGGCTACAACAGTCTTGCAGCCCACTGCAATGAAGGTGGGTCTCTCATGCAGCCCATTCACTAGCCTAGGTTGCCTATGTGTATTCATGCATGTTTTGAGAGTATTCCAGAGCAGGAACTACTAAAAATGTTTAAATATGAATTATTAGTATCAAAGATCTCTAGAGCCCTGCAAATCCGTGGATATCTACATCTGCAGATATGGATTCAGATATCCACTGCTCATTTTTGTGGATATGACTGCAGATACAAATTTTGTATTGGCTGTGGGCTCTAAAGATATCCCATATATTTCTTTCCTCCCCCCTCCTCCCCCCGTAGACCTTTAGCTCCTAAAATGTATTTGCATAGCCAACTATACAGGTGTAAATGACACAGAAATGTCGTCTTCCAGAGGAGGCTCACCAAGAAGAAACTGCAGAGAACCAGCAGAACGGTGAGGAAGGAACATCGACGCCAGAAGATAAGGAGAGTGGCCAGGATGGGGTTGATAGTACTGCAGAGGAAGGAACTAGTGACAGTAACACTGGTTCAGAGAGCAACAGCGCAACAGTGGAGGAGCCTCCAGTAGACGCCACCCCTGAGGATAATGAGAAGAAAGAATAAATGCTAGTTTATTCCATGGCTCTTAACAAAGTACTGGTTTCTGTTTGAAATGTGCTGTGTGTTTTTTTTGTTTGTTTGTTTGTTTTTTGTTTTTTTAAACTCACTCTTCCTTGTCCGTATCATTTGTCACCAAAGGATACTGGGCATTAACTACTGATTATCATAATGTATCCATACCAACATGGCCAACCCAAAGGGGTCTTTAGGGAGTGAGGAATGTCTTAATAGTAACCTACAAAGGAAAACACAGTATTTGTGTCTTTAACTTTATATATATATATGAAAAGAGTATCCTGGATGGCCTGATCTCCCCCCTCACACACACAAACACACACAGAGTTAGTGATTTTTACGTAAGAAATATCAAGTATCTACTCTGTCTGTTCTAATGAGGAACTCCTTTGACAGGGGTGGCATCCCCTCCCTTTCTGCTGAAGTCTGGGTAAAGCACAGCTTGAGTTTGACCTTTTGTGAGGCTTACCAATCCACTCCTATTCTCTGCCTTAGCCTCAGGTGTTTTCCTCCAAAGCCATCATCTTGTTTACCATAAGGGAATACTAAATATGTACCCAAGGAGTTGATATCCAACCCTGAATGCTAATGAAGTAGCATTGAATTGGGGACAGCATTTTGTTTGTATTCACATCTCTAGAATAAACACTGTTTGGGATTAGAATTTTTAGATGCTCTAATGCAAATTGCATTGGTGCCAACCAGGAAACTCCACTGGTTCCAGGCCCATCATAGTGAGATCAAACACCTAATTGCATAAGCCCCACTATAGTTTATTTTATTTTGTTTCTGTCTCTCTTTTTTTCTCTCTCTCAAGAGAACTGACATTCCTCTGGCTGAAATAATGGATTTGTCTTTCAGGTAGTTGTCATGTTGCTATCTGTATGCCAGGAAAAGAGCATGAAGCATTAGAAGGATTTAAAAGTACAGCAAAGTAAAAGTCGCTTTGCTTTGCTTTTGTAGCTGCCTCCCTGTTTGCCAGGTGTAATATCTCCAGTAAGTATCAAGTCCTTCAGTCTTTGCTCACTGAAAACTTGCCTTTAAATCTATGAAGAGCTTTCCTCAATGAGACTACCAGACTTGATCCTATTTCTTCTGTGTGGTCTCTGTTCCCTTTCATACAGTAACAGCAGCTGTTTCACAAGAGAGAAAAGGCAAGTTCTTGTATGCTCTGAAGAGTCATATGCACATTTCCAAATAATCAGAAGCTTGATCTGTTTCAAATGCTATTATTGTGGTTACGGTATGCCTCAGGGCTGTTTTATGTAATGTGGGATTCGTATCCGCATCAGTCACTGTTAATCTGTGCTCTTTGATCTTTGTTCAATACAAAGGACTATCCAAAGGTGTGGCAAAATATAAAGCAAGGGAATACTTAAGTATGTCATATTTCTTGCCCTCCAATGATGACTGTTGTGAATGCAGAATAAACAGTAACAAATAGCCGCCTTCCTTGACATGAGCTTTCAAGCACTCTAGCAATTTCAAAATATGAAAACTCTGTTGTTTCCCTACTCCAAACAACCACCCCTTTCAAATAAAATAAGGCAGACACCAGACATTTCATGACTTTTTCCAGCCACAAGAGACCACATGATGCATTTGCTTCGTGTAAGCTCTAGAAGGTTTTTACTGAATAGTAGTATTTCTGATAGTATGTTCTTTTAAAAAAAATGTTTTGGTCTTTTTTTAAATGTTCTAAACATAATAAAGTAGAACATGGGTTTTTGTTTTTGTTTTTGTTTTTTTAATTATGTCCATCTGTGTTATCTGTCTTAAGATTTTGTGTTTCATACAAAGAGCTCCCCCAGGCATGTCTCCTTTTTAAATCAGAGGATCACTAAAATTGCAAGTCCACGCTACACAAGCATCATTTCTGTGGTATAGTACATGCAAAAACTTATTTTGCAATATAACTTGTTTTAGGGTTGGTTTCTGTTTTTGCTTTTTGTTTTGCTATTTGCTCTTGGCCTAAGAGTTTACAGGCCAAATTTTTCTAAAAAGAATCCTAACGGTGTCTTTCAATTTAAACCACTGAACACAAAAGATTTGAGGTAGAAATGCCACAAGGAGTTGCTGACTTGTGTTCTTTTGGCATATAAACATTTAACTTCCCTTGACTGATTTAAAATAATTTAAATGTTGTTAGAACAAAGTGAAATTTCCACAACATTTGTTGAGTTGAATTAAAATCAGTAATTGATTTACAAGAGTTGAAGAACCTACTTGTGTAATCTGAGTGTTCTTAATAGCCTAGCCTAAATTCTGCCATGAATGTGAAGCCACCTTAACGTCATAGAATTTCACAAATATTGAGGACTGAACCTGGCCTTGTAGTGACAATTTGGCACCCAATCATACACTGCAATATGCATATGGAGCCCACAACTTGTTATTGGCCACAGCCCACATGATACCTGTATGGCCCTCAGGATGTCAATAGATGACAAACAGCCTGTGGGTCCCAGGTTGAATCTTAACCAGTGGTGGTCATGTACCCATTGTCCAGAAGGAGAACTAAAGAGGTAAGATGCTACTACTTAATCTCTTGATGGTTGGTGCTGAGTAGAGGCTTTTGCTGGACTGCCTTCAGTAAGTTTTAGAATCTGAGGGTTCTCGTGTGAAACAACAGTGGGTCTTGGCATCTGGAGTATTGCTTTTAAGTCCTTTTATGGAAATTACTAATAACACACACAGAGATGTGCACTCACAAGTTTCATCTAGTTTCAGCATGCATATGTTTTGTTTTGTTTTACCCTTTGGGCAAATCTTGTTGGAATAACAACCCATTTTCAAAACATTTTGTTTGTTGAGGCAGTGAGGAATATACTTGCAATATAACCAGGCTAGTGACAAGTAAATATTTCTGGCACACCATGAATGATAATATACCTGTTATTGCAGATCATTTAACATGTTTGTTTAAATGTACACATCTGCATATCTATTTAATACTGCAGATTAGAATAAAATACACAGTTGGTAGTAAGGAAGGGATAGTAATTTTAATGTATCTGTCATAGCTTTGCAGAGATAAAATGGCACACATTCTGATTTTTTGGTATGTGTCCTGAGAAGAAAAATGCTTTATTGTTGGGAAGAGAGGATGAATTTTAAAACATGAGTGAGGAAGCTTTGATGGAAATTTTGACTGCACCTGAATCTTGTTTGATTTCTTTTTAACATCTTTTTATACTTTTTAAAGCAAACAGTGTGAAAGACCAAAACCGAAAAGATTTTCTAAATACTGTCTGTAAAAGTCCAGCTTTCCTGAGGTGAAGTAACTGCTATACGAATATTGTGCTTCAACACCTGTATCTGTGTTAGTTAAAATACATTTAGAAGTTTCATTCATTTTTTATATATATAATTTTAAAAATCCCTCTCACAGTTTGTCCAGTCCATGCTGCAAAAAAGTCTGATTAGACACATAACAAGCTTTGTAGCCCAGATGCCCGTGCTGAATTCAGCATCACTTTTTTTTGCTCTCTTGGATGGAAGAGAGACCTTTTTAATAAGCAGTATCAGATTAATTATATTCTTGCCATAACAAAAGACTTCTTTAAATTGCTTTCCTGATCAAAGGCAAAACTTGTCACAAAGAAATCTACACTTGTCTTAACTGCTCTCTCCAAAAGAGTATAATTCCTTTATAATATAAAAACTCACAGATTGTTACTCAAATACTTTATAAGGATCACAGAAGGGACTCGGGTATTGCAAAGGGACTTAGGTATTGAAAAGCTGAACATTGTGATCCTCAAAGGCTGAATTAGGTGTTTAGATTCCCTATACAATGAATGGGGGGAGCATTGTTCCCTGAATGCTGGGTACTTGTGTGGCCACTCAACAGAGATTTAAATGCACCCAGCTGATAAGCAGAGCGCCCACAGCTAGGTTTTTTGTTTCTGCTGCTGGTGCAAATTCACACAAGCCTTGGTGCACATACAATTATTCCACACATGGGTGGAAAAAAAAATCCACACATGGATGGGTAAGATTAGGGGGAACATTGGAGGGGTCTTTCAATAGGATAGATAGGGAGCTGTTGATGGGAGGGGGTTGTTCTAAATCCTCCCATCCTCCTCTTAGGTGCCTATTGTGATCCCTAAAAGGAAATTCATCTGAAGTCAGGCACCTAGGTGACTTGTGTAGTTTAGATGCCTGGCTCGGTCCACACAAAGGAGCTAGGGGACAGGGGGTGCCACCTACCTTTTAACCCGGTGGTTAGAGTGTTCACCTAGGATGTTTTGAGCTTTAGGTTAAATTTCACCTCTGCTAGAGGGCAGAATGGATAAGAACAGGAGTTTTTTATGTTTGATATTCTTAGTGGGTATGGCACTCAGTTGCTTTATGTAGACTAGAATTGTTCTCTCTCTTGCCTTATCACTTTTTAGTCTTTATCCACAATGCCCCATTCCTTGTGTTAGAGAAAGAGGGTGTGAGAGTGACTCTAGTCCAGTGGCTTCAACAGAAGAGATGGAGGGAGACCTGCATCAGAGGAGGTCCTAATTCAAATCTTCCCTCCTCCCAGAGAGCACATAAATTGTGCCTGTCTCTCTTACTTGACTACTCAGCTAAAATTACGAAGTGGGTAGGTGGCATCACCATCTCTCCCTCCAACCACATTTTAAATAAGACCCAATTTGGTAGGTACTATCAGGGTCAGGCCCTGCATACAACTTAGGTAGATGCACACTTGCCTTCCTCCAGTCTGAATTTCTCCGGGGTTTATCAGGTGTCTAGATGGCTAGACAAAAGCACCGGAATATGCATCCAGAAATATTGGCTTTGAGTTTAGGTGCATACAAGGTTTGGCGGGAGTTTTGTGGATCATGGAGACTAAAAAGGAGACAGGCTCCTAAACTCAAGATGTTGGTGCCTAAATACCCGTGTGACTCTGGATCTCAGTTACTAATGTCATTGATTTCTGCAAATATTTAATTCTGTTTTGTGCTGTTAGTGCAGCAGTTCTTAAGTCTAAAAACTCTTCACAACTATCAATATTCAATCACAACTTGCTCTAAGCTATTCTTAGGCCAACAGTTACCTCTCAGTAAATTTACTTAATTGCTTTTATTTTAGTCTGTTCAGTTGCTGAAGGGTAAACATTGTGCCTGCATTTGCCATTCTGCTGTTCTCTTCCCATTTGTAACGTGTAATTAGCACCAGAACACACACAGAGGGGAATTCCCCTTGTTAGAATCAAATTATTATAATTATTGGAAGAGGCTAAATAGGGCTTTTGCCCTGTTAAATGAACATTTTGTCCCTAATTAGCAGTTTTGTCTGTCTTAGTTGAATGGCTAATTTGGATATAAAACATGGAATACCTGCCACTAATTATTTTCATTCCGCCCTGGATACCCCTCTACGATGCACACTGGAATTTTTTTCAAGTTATGTGGCTGATCTGTATCCAATCAGTACTTCAGAAATGAGGAAGTATTAGTGCTGTTGGCTGAGCTCCTCTTCAATAACAGGTTAGTCATTCCTTTAATTAGATGCAAAGATTCCTTTCTTGAATAAAACCATTTGCTGACGTTAAGAGACCTAGTTGTTGTGATCTCCTGTGTTGTAACAGCTGTTATCTCCGAAGTTGTGGTTTTACTTAAGCTATTTTGTGTCTTCAGTAAGAACATATTCTCATGGCTTATTTTAATTGACTGTAATTACTGGCAGCGAGAAGATGTCTTACAATAAAGGGTGTGTATGTAAAGGAGTAGGTAAATTTTCAGTAGCAAAATTAATTCTGAACACCCTAGAACCTGTTTGACTTAATTCCTAGTAAGTGATAAACCTGCAAAAACATTTTAAGTACCTGCTCAAGCACATGGATTGAATTCTGGAAATAAATTGGCATTTAACTTACTGTAATAGCTTATCCCTGCCTAACTAATCCCACCCCCAGAAAAAATCATGGAACTGCAATCAGGCTGGCTCCTATCACATTGTTCACTTTGATTTTTTTTCTTATTATAGTCCGACCTATTTACTCTGCAAATGCCTCTGGGTAAGAGCTGTCTATCGCTCTGTGAAGTGCCTAATGCATGGGGCTCCAATTTGTGTTGGTCAGTACACACTAGAGATTGAACCTCCCTAGTCCGGCACCCTCAGGACCTGACCAGTCCCAAACAAGGGAATTTGCCAGACATGGGGAGTTCCCCTGACACTGGGACCCCAGCTTGTCATACCTCTCTGCCACTGGCTCTGTTTTGGGCCCTGGCCAGGCCCCTGCCTCCACCCAGCTGTGTTGCCAGCCTTGGCTGAGCTTAGACACCCCCCAACACATACACATTCCATAGGGTTCCCAACCGCACCGCTGACTTCCACTGCTGCAGGGCTCCTGGCTGTGCTGTCAGCCCGCTGCCAGTGGCCCCTTGCCATAGCTCACAGCCGCACCACCAACCTGCAGTGCTGAGCTGTGGGGCTCCAAGTCCCCCCGACTTAGGGTTCCTGGCTGTGCTGCTAGACCCCCAGCCATGGGGCTCCCAGCTGCACTGCTGGCCCCTCTGCCACAGAACTGGCTGTGCCACAAGGCTCCTGGCTGTATTGCAGGCCCCCACTGGACCAGAGAGTCCTGGTTTAGGGAAGTACAACCTGTATCTCAAACATAATTATTAAGAACATTTATCATTATTAACGGGCTACTCCTTGCACTCACTGTGCTCGCCAACCTCCCCGTCTCTGGTGGCTTTCGTGTCCAAAGAGTGTGATGACATCATTTT